ACACACACACACACACCAGTCATCTGGAAGCAGGCCAACTCAATCCAGCGAACAATAGGAGAAAGTCAGAGAGAGAGAGAGAGAGAGAGAGAGAGAGAGAGACTCTCTGGTTCAGACTGCATGTCGATCGCCCTGCACACATCAGTGAGAGAGAGAGATTTAAAAAGCTCATTCCACCCTTTTTTTTTCAGCGGAAGAACTTGTGTGGTGAACAAACAGATCTGATGTCAGTCCTCACACACAGAAACAAACGTGTTCAAACAAATAGAAGTGAATGATGTTCATATGCACCATTAAAGTTTGAGTTATACATGATGTCTTTATTCCAGTCTGTTTGACATCTCTGCTGCTTGTTCATTCCCTACATATATGTTCTATTCTGTTCAGTATGTTTTCGTTGTACTCCACAGTTTATGCATAATATCTACAGTCCATCATTTTTATACAGCGATCAGCCCAAACACAGTGAGCACAGTCAGTCAGTCAGTGGGGGGGCACATCAGGCAGAACATTTTGTCCTCAGAGTTGATGTGTTGGAAGCAGGAAAAATGGGCAGCATGAGGATCTTAGCGACTCTGACAAGAATCACATTGTGACGGCTAGACGACTGGATCAGAGCATCTCCAAACCGCATCTCCAAACCGCAGGTCTTGTTGGGTGTTCCAGGTCTGCAGAGGTCAGTTACTCCTCATATTTCTGTTATCATCGCACAGAAACTCCTCTTTAACCTTCAAAATTTCCCCAAATATTAGCAAGGACAAGAGCTCATTGTGCTCAATCAATCAAATCATATATTGTAAAAATATGCCTTTCAATTAACTCAAACAGCAGCTTCCAATCGCAGTTTTACATTTGGATTATGGATAACGTGGCTCTAAAGTGTAACATCTGTTTTCAGTCACATCCATCAGACGGGAGATTGACTTTGGTCCTTGGAGTCAGGACAGGAAGAAGATTTAAAATATGACTCGACTTGTTTTAATTTCACATCTTTGTTCTCAGACGCCATTTTAAAGCCAAATGCTTCATGTTACCTGTGGGTCATGCATGCAACACATGTGTGTATGTGTGTGTGTGTGTGTGTGCACTCTCCCACACGGCTGCATATGCCGGCCTGGCATGAAGCGGAGCTGGCTGTCGACCATATTTGGGCGTAACGGGCGAGAATCCAGCAGACTAATTTGGGTCTGGCCGGGACGACGCAGTTATTATTTTCCTCTGGACCATCAGGCAGAGGACACACAGCCATCTGCTGCACACACACACACACACACACACACACACACACACACACACACACACACACTCACACACATCTCAATTAGATCACTAAGAGGGCAGCTGCAAGCGAAGCCTGGTCTCATAAACAGACTCACACACACATAAACACACAAAAACATTCATATGTACATGAACTCACACACACACACACACACACACACACACACACACACACTGTGCTGTGTTGTTGGATCAACAGGGTGTTACAGAGCGACAGATTCTCCTGCTGTCGGCCTCTACAGGGAACGACAGGACAGAGACAGAAAGTGTGTTTTCATCCACCTGTTTCAAATGAACACAAACAAGAAACTGACATCAGAAAATCTAAAGTTTAGAACTCTGTCGACCTTCTGAAGGCAAAATGTGACATCAAGAAAACCAGTTCAACCACCACTGACCTATGAAAGGATTTAAAAATGGAAAGGAAAATATAATAAATATAACAACTTTACCAATAAACTACGACACAAGAATAAACTGTAGAGTAAGCAGCGCCAGGCAATCAGTCGCACAGCTGAGCCTCCAGTCCACCAGAGAGGCCAAACAGTCGGTTTGGGTCACAGAGTTACTGAGAAAATATCTGCGAAATGAGCTACAATGGCTGCCATATAATGTCAGCTAATTTAGGGACTAATGCATCGTCAGAATACGTCCACTAACAGTAGTTGTTGTTGTTTGTTCCACTAACAGTAGTTGTTGTTGTTTGTTCCACTAACAGTAGTTGTTTGTTCCACTAACAGTAGTTGTTGTTGTTTGTTCCACTAACAGTAGTTGTTGTTGTTTGTTCCACTAACAGTAGTTGTTTGTTCCACTAACAGTAGTTGTTGTTGTTTGTTCCACTAACAGTAGTTGTTGTTGTTTGTTCCACTAACAGTAGTCGCTGTTTGTTCCACTAACAGTAGTTGTTTGTTCCACTAACAGTAGTTGTTTGTTCCACTAACAGTAGTTGTTGTTTGTTCCACTAACAGTAGTTGTTGTTTGTTCCACTAACAGTAGTTATTTGTTCCACTAACAGTAGTTGTTGTTTGTTCCACTAACAGTAGTTGTTGTTTGTTCCACTAACAGTAGTTATTTGTTCCACTAACAGTAGTTGTTGTTTGTTCCACTAACAGTAGTTGTTGTTTGTTCCACTAACAGTAGTAGTTTCTGCCACTGACAGACTCAGGTTGTTATTGTCAGTGTCTGACAGCATTATGGAAAGGATCCCTACAGAGATAGACCTTTAGTTTAACCACAAACAGCCGTGATATCACTATCACTCTCCACGTCCTCGTCAACTTTTTACTGCAAAGAATTAAAATTCACACAAAGTTTAAAAAAGAAGAAGAGTGAGTGTTCGTGCGTTGAGGGGGAGGAAGAGGAGGAGGAGGGACTTTAACTTTACTCAGCGGCCGTGTTTAATTACAGCTCCGCTCTTTGTTAATGACTCTATTAACGGCCTGTTTGATTGGCCGGCCACGTCCCGTCTCCCCGACGAGACGGCAAAGAAACGAGTTAAACCGACAAATCCTCTTTACACATAAATCTGCCTGAAGATTGTTTCAGCGTCGGCCACCGAGCGAGAAAATTCATAACCTCGTCAATTTGTCAAAAGGCTTAAAAAAAAAATCCCCCCCATCCTCATCCCTCCCCGCCACCCAGCCATTTTTCCTGCACGCCATGATCTAATTAAAGTTGAAAAATAATTAGCGATATATTTTCCTTCCTTTAAGAAAAAAAAAAAAACTGAAGAGAGGGAAGGGCAGTGATTAAAGGAGAAGAGGAGGAAGGGAGAGCAATTAGGAGGATGGAGGTTGACGAACTCTGTGTACACATGTAGGATTACAGGGTGAGACTCCTACAAGGCAAAGACAAGCTGGATCTCTCTCCCCCCCCTCTCTCTCTTTCTGTCTTTCACTTTTTTAATCGGCGTGCCACTTCTTCAGCAGCTGATAAAAGCAGAGAGAACAAGATAACCAGCTCAGCGGAGCTGGCGGAAAAGCTTAGGGGACCCAATTTGACAATTAATCAATTATTTGATAGAAATCATCAATCAATCTTGGTGGGGGAATTAATCCAGGAAGGGGAGGGGAGGGGGGAGAGATAGAGAGACACAGCGACAGAGGGAACGAGAGAGAGGGGGGGGAGAGAGTGATGTGCCTTCCTCTTTAATTTGGTAAACTGATTGGCCTTTTTTCCTCGCTCCCATATCTGAGAGCTTCCTATATCTAATTCACAGAGACAAGGAGTTCACATTAAACTAATGGAGAGAAACAGAGAGAGAGAGAGAGAGAGAGAGAGAGAGAGAGAGAGAGAGACCTAATGTATGTCCTGGCACAGACAGTAAATACGAACTCTCTTCCAGAAAACAACATGGAGCTCACAGAGACAGCAGAGTGGATATCTACAGTCTGAACATACAGGCCGAGCTGTATTCATTACTAAATGATCAGAATGTTAAGTAGCTCCATCAGTGAGAGCGACACTGTGGTTCGCTCACGTTCTAGTGGTGTAGTGGTTTACGCATTTCCTGTAAAGACAGGCAGTTAGGGAGGGACGCTGTGTGTTACGTCCCCCAGTCCAGCAGCTGTAGTGGATCCATTAGCGGACTGTGTCGGACTAGGAGCTCCTGGTGAACAGTTTGATTGCAGCAAATAAAGGACGGAGGTGGTTTTACTGCTGGGTTTGGCTCCTGCTACCCCGGGCTAGTTAGTTGGCTAACTCTCACTTTTGTCAGGCACAAAGTCACCAGCCAATCAGAGGCAATCCAAGTCTCTGCTGTCAAAGTAAGTGTACATGCTGATTAATGGCCGGTTTACACACACTCATGCACGCAGAGGGAAAACTTCCACGCTTGCAGTGAAGGAAAGATTTCCGACCCAGCTGATTAACAGCAACTTTAACAGAAGCTCTGAAAATGATCTTTTAAACGATGACAACACAGTGTGTGAATCCCAGAAACACTACAGTACTACAGTGGATAATATTCACAGCACAGAGACACTCTGTGGTTTAACATGATGCTAAAGAAGATAAAAACAACTTCTCAGCCACAGGACGCCAGAACACGTCTCCCAGCACATGTTCTCCACTCCTGTGTTTCCTGCTTTCATTAACACGTTGGCAGTTTGCACACAGGCTATGAGGTAAACAGGAGAGTGTGATGGTTTGAATCCCTTTTAATTCAACCACACACACACACACACACACACACACACACACACACACACAGAGAGCTTGTCAATACTGACTTATTAGCACCTCCAAGGTCGCTATGTCGACCTTCAGATGGACGCCTGTCTCCATTAACAGGAACTGGTGGAGAGTGAACCAATTGAGACGCAGAACTCGTTACCAAGCTGACAAAGTACAATGAAGTGTCGCCGACACACACACACACACACCCACACACACACACACACACACACACACACACACACACACACACACACACACACACACACACACACACACACACAGCAATAAAATATGCGTCGTCGCTCGCTGCACAAATCAACAACCGTCCGACGAGCTGATGAGATTTGAAATGAGCCTTAATTTGTTGGGAATTGTCTTTGGTAATGATGAGAGAGAGAGAGGGATGGAGGCAGAGAGACGGAAGAGACAGACAGATGGAGAGAGAGAGAGAGAGAGAGAGAGAGAGAGAGAGAGAGAGAGAGAGCAAGAGACACTGGAGAATTTGCAGTGGTGACATACAAGCAAACAGGTGTGTGACTTACCTGTGACAGACCCAGGTAGATGGAGACGGTCTCGGAGATGTAGAGGAAGCGTCCCTCCTTGTTTAGTGCAAATACAAACCCGTCCAGAGACTGAAAACAGACACAAACACAGAAGAGTTGGAATTCATTTAAATATTAAAGTTCCACTTGCAGTAAAAAGACAGAGCTTGGTGACACATTTCAGACCCGCCTGGCAGCAGGAGTGCTGGGGCTGAGGGGTGAATATGTTGGTCTAGTCTGGCTGCCTCATTGATCCATTATCTGATTGACACTGGGACTCTGAAATATCAGTAACCTAACTAACTACAGTCCACAGCGCTGTCCGTGGTGCTGAAGCACACACATTTGAACCAGTGGTTCCCAAACTGTTTCTGGGGAAGCACTTCTTAAAAATGACAACCCATGGCGAACCAACTCACAGCGAGAATAGCAAATTTGTGCAGAAATGAACAGGTAGAAGGAGCCATTTAAAGAAATATACATTTGATAAATCACAGCTTCATCATCACTAAAACATGTGCACAGTTTAAATATAATAAATCTCTCTCAGTAAGTAAGTGCGCTCAAAGTAAGTTACAGCTCTCATCTTTCACTTAATCAGTCAAAGTATGTACACATTTGAAATACTTGAGAGTAAAATGAGATTAAATAAGTGCCTTATAGAGCAGGAGGAACAAATTCTGCAAATTTCTTTATTTCAAATTAAACTTCCCAAACCCACGTGTGGGTCACGATACAGTGTCTCTGGGAATGAATGCTGTAAACTATATCCTATATTCTGTTCTATACTGTAGCCTGTAAACTCTGAATTATCAGGACTTTATCAGATAAAGTAAATCAGCCAATAATGGGAAATGTATATTATTATAAATTACCTGGATAATTAAATTACAGCCGATAAATCATCAGTTGATATTTATAATAACTTATTTGTCTTTAAATGAACTTTACTAGAACAAATCAATGAACATTTGAATATTCACTACTGTTGTTGTTGTAGCCTTTCTTACCCTCAGGGGTTCATAAACTACAGGTTATTTCATTCATTCCTGCAAAGAAAACTAAATGAAATTATTATTTTTACAGTTTATATTACAGTCTCATCCTGCATTAGAAAAAAGACAAGAAAAACACTGAATTTGTCAAAAAAAGAAGCCTATTAAGTATGTGTGGTTGTAAAAATCTAAATCTGATTCTCATCTCTGATCAATATTCATCTAAATCAGCTGTTCTCCACTCTTACTGTTATACATTGAATATAATATGAAATATAGTCAGCTTACTCAATGATAGAAAAGGTGTTCCTATAACATTTCCATGATTGATGGCATCTGTGCTGCTGAAAATACTCCCGAGACCAAGACACGTCTCTAACTAAACATTTCAGGGGAGACATGACTATCCATATGAATCCATATTTTACTGTATAAATATAATATAATAATAGTAAGTAAATAGTAATAGTAAAGTTTTTACCATCAAAAGACACGGTTTTCCATGACGGTGGTTTGCTGTGCAGTTTACAGTCTGTAATATAAAAACACAACTTTATTCTGTATAAATTCCTTTAAAATATTGTATTAATTAAGGTTTTGCCATCAGATATCACAGAGTTTTACTGTTACAGAAACGTAAACCTATTTACAGTTTACAGTCTTTTACTGTCATTGTTTGACAGTTGTCTTTTTTTACAGTGTATGTTTGCCTGAGTTGTTTGCAGTATTTATATTTTTGTCAAGAGGAATGTCGTCTTTTACTGCAAACCAAATCTACCTGTGGGTACAAACACAAGTAACTGTGGACGGCGGGCTGCTGAGGTCTTATTGGACTCACAAACTGGACTACATTTCCTGTCACTTCTGGCCAAGTGCAATACATCTTTACTACTTTACTGCAATTTGCAGGGAATACTTTGTTTATGTGTGTTTATTTTTACTTTAGTACTTGTGTTTGATTTGTTTTCGTATTATTTTGGACCTTGTGGTGCGTTCGGGTGCTGTTGCTGTGCCTTGAATTCCTCCCTCGTTCACTGCTCCCCGTGCAGACACGAACTAACCATCATATTGCATCATCCCTGTCAGCTGTACAGTCGCACTACAGTCATTTTTCTCATCTAAAAGATGCGGCACATTGCATTGTGGGATTTTAAAGGGAGACTACTTTCTTTAACACATTTTCACACTCAAATAAAATGGCGGACAGTAGATACAGTGCCATCTATAGTAAATAAGGAGGGATTTCAGACACAGACATGGATCACTCACACTGTAATGTATCCTTCAATAGTACTGCAGTACTGCACACACACACACACACACACACACACACACACACACACACACACACACAAGACCTAGGTGTGTCTAATGGTGTCTTTATGTGAAGATCACGGTGGAACACTCGACTTCAGCAGCGAATCTCACACACACACAAACACAGATGTGAGTGTGTCTAATGCTGTCGTTATGTGAAGAACACTCGACACTCTGAGTACGACACACTGATTCAAACATACACACACACACACACACACACACACACACACACACACACACACACACACACACACACACACACACACACACACACACACACACAGAGGCATTAATACTCCTGAGGTCAGGCAGGTTAATTACATGTGGTTCCCTACTGTTGCTGCTGATACACCAGGTGTGTGTGTGTAGGTGTGTGTAGATGTGTGTGTGTGTGTGTGTAGGTGAGTGAGTGAGTGAGTGTGTGTGTGTGTGTGTGTGTGTGTGTGTGTGTGTAGGTGAGTGTTAGATCCACTCTGAACAGACTGTGAATATATATGTATGACTATATCTCTGTCATTAATATTAATTCTCTGTGTGTCATAGCTCTCAATATCTCATCTCACATTATATATTAAATACATTTATACACATATAAATATTAAATCAATTAATAATGAATTAAATATTGATGCATTTTCTCTTTCCTAACAAAGATCACATATATATGGATGTATATGAGCTTTGTTATAAGAAAGAAGAGTGAGCTCAATTTTACAGGAGAATCACTGGCTACTCAAACTGATCGGTGGCCTGATATAAGCTATTTGTGTTAGTGTGTGTGTGTGTGTGTGTGTGTGTGTGTGTGTGTGTGTGTGTGTGTGTGTGTGTGTGTGTGTGTGTGTGTGTGGGTGGCAGCTCCTGTGCCTGCGTCCGTTAAGTCTGCCCTCTCAGCTAACGAGATGCTAATGAGATGTTAATTGTCAACGAGCCTCATCAATGTCCGTCCATGCTGGGCTCCTCATTAACACACACCCTGACTCATCCTGAGCCTGTGTGTGTGTGTGTGTGTGTGTGTGTGTGTGTGTGTGTGTGTGTGTGTGTGTGTGTTCTCAGGTCCCCAGTGCGTGCATAGGTAGCTCTGTGTTTGGGTCTGTATCTGTGTGTGTCGTCAGGTTCTTCGTCCTCTAACAAGTCGATTATCTTCAGATGATGTTTGAACCATTAGTGACGACTGATGCAGCTTATTCCATTGAAATCCAGTGGATAAAAAAACTTCTCTTTATTTATTCATTTATTTCTGTTCCACTGCATTGGTAAACATGTTTGAATGTATCTAAAGGGGTTATTGGGAGTCCAATTGTAACTACCTGTGGTTTAGGTTTCATTTATTCTTATTAAAAGCATCACTGCAACACCTGACGTTTGTATTGTACCAGGCTGTATAGTGCTTTAATTACATTAATTGCTGTAACTCTGTTTGCATTTACTTGGTGATATTAGCGATGAGGGGCTACGCGCATACTCATGGAAATGGAGTTATATCCAGGTAACTTCTATTTTACTGTGTCTTATTACTAAAAACTACTACTCCCACATGGTTGCCATGTTTACATTCTTTCAATGTAACAGGGAGCAGCAATCATGGTGAGGAGGTTTACAGAAGCGGTCCAGTAAAACACACTTTGAGCTGGACAGAAACTAAATAAATCTCACCAAAACCGTCTCTCAGTGTTTCCAACAATCACCAACTCTGGTTTGGTGGAAATAAATCCTTAATTCACAGATGTAGATGATAAAAACAGCAGTTTCAGTCGCTCTACTCAGCTGACCTTTTTGGGGAATGGGAGTCAATTTCAGTATTTATCACAGGACTGGAAATTACATTTTATATACCTTTAAATATGCAGTTCTAATATAAATAAATGCTCTTCAGTCTGTTCTGTTGTGTTTGTCTGCTCTGGTTGCTGGTTGGTAACACTGGAATTTGATGGGACAGGAGTCATTCTTCCGGGATTGGGAATGGGAATTGGTTTGGAGGATTCAGGGAATGTGGGATGTTAACCCTGTTAAACCTTCTATTTTCCCAGTTATGCGTCTTGGAATATTGCGACACAACCGCTAAGCCTGTGTAGGTCATGGATTACTTCTTGCCCCCTTTAAAGTAACACAACACAACAGTGGAAAAGGCTGAGATGTGAAGATAATCACAATCTGTGTTTTTCTTTTTACAGTTTTATCATCTTGTCTGATTGAGGTCCAGGTTTAGCAACAAGCAGCTCCAGGTGAAGGGAAGCAAATCTGCCCGTTTCAGAGGGATTAAAACGGATTAATTAGAATTGGAAAGCGAGTTGAAAGGTGGAAGCAAGTGTGTGTTTGTGTGTGTGTAAATTATGCTGATATGACGCTGATGTAAACACTCTCTTTCTCTCTCTCTCTCTCTCTTACACACACACACACACAGACATAGATGTGCTGTAAACAAACATAACCTTGCTTACTGCTTCGTTAAGTCCCAGGTTGCCTCCCGGAGGTTAAACAGGCCTCAGATTATTAGAGCAGCAACTCCAACCAGAGCTCACACCAAAAACATTGTTTTCTGCTGCATGTTTGTCTTTTCTGCCTCTTTCGGTTTACACCGGGAATTATGTACGAGGTCGGCGGGGTCTCAAAAGGTCAGTGAAAGGTTGTAAGAAGCACAAAAGGTCGGTGTAACACCTGGAAAACAATATTCTCGTCTCGGTAACTGACATTTTCTGCCAGAGCTACAGCCTTTAAGAACATTCTTGTGTAAAACACCCAAACCAGCACTGATAAACCGAAAGCTGCCTACTTCTAATTTGAACTACGTTTAATTTGGTCAAGAGCAGTTTAAAACAGTGAAGATGTGAAGGGAAGATGTGCTTGTTTGAGATGACTGTATATTTATCATATTATGTGTATATTTTGTGCAAAATACCAGCTCTGAACATCCGTCATTAAACAGATACTCTGACTTGTATAGACACCAAAATGAATAAAGAGAAGAATCTAAAGAAGTTAAATGAAGATAAACATACAATAAGAAGCTCAACGACAGCCTGAAACTGATTTAAAAGAAATCAACAGACCTCTGCCTGCTATAGAACCAGTAGATCCAGTATCAACTGACCTCAGTCTGTTAGGTGGGATATTGTTTTTCATGCCCTTTGTTGTTTTTCTCTTGTATTTGCATATTAATAACATACACAGACACACTGGGACTTTAGATTGGTCTGTGAGTATGTGTGTGTGTGTGTGTGTGTGTGTGTGCATGTTATTACCTGCTTTTTCAGTGTGTGTGTGTGTGTGTGTGTGTGTGTGTGTGTGTGTGTGTGTGTGTGTGTGGATATGTGTGCAGTAATGTGTGACCATGTGACCAAATGTTTGTATGTATCACCATATGTGTGTGTGGGGCAGACAGACCAAGGACGGCACTCAGACACCCACACACATACACACACGGTGGAACAAATGGACACACACACATTAAGAAACAGCACACTAACATGCTCACACACACTCACAGTCATTGTCTCTATCTTTTCTCCTCTGTCTCTCTAATACACACACACATACCCTGTGGCAGCGGTGTGTGTGTGTGTGTGTGTGTGTGTGTGTGTGTGTCTCTTTATGAAATCACAGAGGGTCTGACCGCCTCATAGTAATTATGCTAATTGCCTGGATGCCCTTGCCTTTATTTATGCGCGGCTGCTAAGATAAATAAAAGGAAATTGCTTTGGATCTAACTGTATTCATTTCAGCATGCTAACTAGAATGCTAACGCCGCTCTCTGCGTCGGTGTGTGTGTGTGTGTGTGTGTGTGTGTGTGTGTGTGGGGTGGGCGAGGCACAGATTTGTTTACCCTTCACAAATTCTGCAGGTAATTGCAATTTTGATTGTACATTTATTTATTTTATTCTGTGTGTGTGGACGGATTGTATTGATGTGTTTTGTGTGTGTGTGTGTGGCAGTGAGGTGGAGGGTTAGCGCGTGTGTCAATGTGCGTGTGCGTGTGTGTGTGCTTTATGTCTCTCAGTCATAATGAAATGTTTTGTTGTATTAACCAGAATTTAACTGTCTGAGAGCCGCAGACTGTTGTTCTGCAGTGGAATTAAAGCATCTGAACAAAACAACAAAGAAACTGACTTTTACCTTCAGCAACAATGTAATTAAGGTATTTTAATAAGACTTTAAGAGGATAATGAATGGATTCATTTATGATTGTTATATTTAGAGCAGCAGCTAACAAATGTT